ATATTACGCCATAGAAAGAAATTAACTTCCTCAAATTTATCACGACTATGACAAAATCATTTCCAGCGAACGTTTACTTTTTACTTCAATCGCAACGATTTGATCGCGTAACTAACTGATTTTGATCTTGTTGTGTAATGACTAATGGGAGCGTCATTGATCTCGAGAGAAGTCTAGGCTGAAGCCTTGACGAGGAATAAATTACACGATAGACGTCGATTGACCGGTCGCGCGCGAATTCATTCTCGCATCGTCGAATTCTCGCGTTCCGTTCCCTTTCGCGACATAATCGCGATCGAACCTACCGAAGATTCCTTTCCATCCTCCTCCTTCTTTTCTTACCGTCGCAACACGTCGTATTTCCGCCCCGTTGACTACGATGACACCGAAATCGCCAACAGGATAAAGCCAGAGAATGACGTGCAATTATATTCCGGACGTGCAACAACGGAAGAGGAAGATAGTTTGCTAATCCTGGCCTGTTGTGGAACGGTATTTCAAAATTACTCTGCACCTCGATGGCTGCGCGGTTAACTACCACTTGTTATCTACACGTAGCTTTCTACTTAATTGATAAATTGAATTCTATCAGCGAGGCGTTTAACAGTTACTTCCGTTTGACAGTAAATTAAAAAGTAAGAGAATTTTACAAAGCGATCCTCCTTTTCATTGGCATTCTATGACGATGAACGAGCATGAGCCTCGCGTAAAATTCAATGTTTGCTTTTAACATCCATTATTTTATGTATACGCACATCGACCCTCTGAAATCGACGAGACACGTTCAACGTAGTAATACACTAATTTGCAACGCACGTATCAGCTAGTTCTCTGGCTTCTGACATAAAATTTAGAAGCGCACAGATGTCCTAATATCCCGATGACCTACTGCCGAATGACTGGGTCACGAAATTCGAAGGTCTCGTTTACGAACCGATTCCTATCCGATCACCAGTTTGACGCGTCCAACTCTACGATCCTCTTTCGCTAGAGAAATTCCACGCGCGAAAAACTACAGATAACATTCTGATCGAGAATGGTTAGATCCGGCACGAGTCGGTTGACAAACCTGGTTCGTGTCAAAAGCTGATGACGCGACACTTGTATCGAGGAAATTAGACGCGACGCGCAATAGCCGTAGTAACAATTTGGAACGACAGCACATATGAATCATCGAGAATAGAAAATGGAGGTGTATATCCATCTCGATGAATTGTCGTGAACGTACTATGCGTCCGAAATGTACGCCGATAAAATCTGCCATTGTACACACCTCATTGAAAGTAGGTTATTACCGAAAAAGAAAGCGTTTACAGACTGAAATTTGTTCGGGACATTTTCATTGTTTTGATTATAGAATAGATTCTGTGTGGGAACGTGTCGAATTAACTATAAAAGAAAACAATTAACAGAAGAAGCCTTACGTAGATATGAAATTTTCCTCGTATTAAATGTATTAAGTATTAAATGAATAATTACACATTTTTTACTTTCTGCAGATCTTTTTACATTGACCTACGAGTCATGAGATGGCAAGAATTAAGATCTCTCTGTTAAGGACAAGGAGAGTAACTGGATCCAGTTTCATGGTCATGGGAGCAATAAAAATTTATGTATATACACGTATGCATGCCACGATTTTACGTTACACAAATGTAACATGATTACACCGTCTAAGCAAATAAAAAGTTCGTCGAACTTTGTCCTTTTTGACGATCGTCAAAGTACGTTACAACGTTGAATATTTTAACTCACCGGTCATGCATAGTACCCGTTACCTTCTTCATTTTTTGCTTAAATATTTTTACTCAAATTTTTGTGGAGTTTCGCGACCCTATCATAGACGCCACTTTCGCAAACGATCGTCGCGTGTTTCGCACGGTGAACGCTCGCGAACGACCGAAACGCGGGGAAATTTATTCGCAAATTTCGTGTACCAGACGACTCGACTTTTCGAGACAACTTACACGAAACCTCGACGATGCGTGCAATAACGTTAGTGCTGTGACAGAGTTGCTTGCACTGACTCTGGAATAATTTCATTACAATAAGCTGGTCATGAAATTTTCGTACCTATATCGATCGTTAAACGCGAATTGAGAGTATACATTCATTACCATTCCCTCTATTTTAATTCCGTACATTACGAACGTAGTAATTTTTATAAGCTGCGAGTTTTTCCGATACAAAGCAAGATAATCTCAAATTTAGCTGCAAAAACATAAAAGAGTGATTTATCGGTTACTCGCATCGAATATTATAATCTTCGTGCACCGCAATCTCTTAGCGATGGTAACGTAAATCGATGATGCGGTCACGAGTGCAATCAGACTCGAGGAAAAAGTTCCTTGAGCCTCGCCCAACCACGTAAGTGAAAACAGACGTTAGTAGGTAGGTACCGGTTAGGAAACACGCTTAAAATTTGAGGCATCGTCGTTGATGACCTCAACGTCCGATTACATGATTAAATAATTGTCCCCGATTCGTTAACGGTTAATAGAACGGAATTCACAAAGTATACGCTGGGGGAATGAAGAAGCACTGCGATTAATAATACAAGTCACCCGAACACATTAGGTGTTTACCTCGTTTATTGGACGACTTCTAATTAATAGCTTCCATTCAACATCATGACAGATGTGCTAATCAAATCAAATCAAATGAAATAAAAAAAAAAGTCTACTTATAGTTAAAGTCTAGTTATAACTGAAAATGATTCAAATTTGGTCTACAAATTATTCGAAAAATCACCGGTGAAAAATAATAAAAATATAAAGAAACATACCATAGAGGCTGATGCATCCGAGTATCCAAAAACTTAACAAGAGTTTGTTAATCATCTCACGTTGGTGGACCGGCTAGAGGGACGAATCTTTTTTTCAAAAATCCATCGTTCGCGTACCGATTTGAAAATCCAAGGAGAGCACGTGTTCACAGTTCGCGAATCTTCCAAACACGCAAGGATCAGTGTTCTTTCATTCTCTTGACCGCTTCGTTGACCAACGAAAAATTGTGCGAAACAATGGAGAAACTGTTAAACGCTTGAAGTCAGACAGAAAATATAGACGATCGATCCAAGTTGCCGTGACTTGCTCGATCCTCGAAGCAACAGTTTTTTTTTTATGCTTCTCTTTATCGATTTTCCCTCGTTGTTCGACGAATATCAGTGTCTCTCAGAATTTACATAACTTTCGTTCCATAGCGTTTATCCACTTTCTCCAAATTGCCGATTTAATTTGCAACAAATTTCGCTTTATGGCGAATAGTCCGCGATTTTAAAGGAAACTCTTTCGAAGGAAACTCTCGAAGGAAAAAATGGAAACGAGATCGAATTTAAAAAATCGTAATTGTCAAAGAAAGGCGCTTTTTTCAGCTGGCTGAATTCTTCAACTTCTCCTGCTTTCTCCTTCTAAAGACTTGGCGTACTTTTAAACGCTCAAGCGATCAACAATCGAGCGCACCGCTCATACGATTTATACTTGCACGATGGTGTTTACTTGACTGATGAAAAGTTTGTTCGCGTGGTTTATCGATCGTTTACGATCCGGACACTCTCGCAATACAATCGCATTATTAATCTGCAGATAACCGAAAGAAACAACGTCGTTTCATGTCAATGTTTTACAATCGACGATCAAATTGCAATCGAGTACTCTTCCAGCTATCGTAGGGATGAATTAACGAATAACGAATTGATAAGATTCGACGTCGATTCGCTAGATTTCCAATAGCTTGATCGTTCGATCACCGATATATCACGCGATATTGCACAGATTTCGCGTTTTCATTGTCCGGATCGCTTTCGAGGCGATCTCGAAGCTCGGTTTTCACAGAGCGGCGCACTCCGGCAAAACGAGAAGCCTGGAGCGCCAGCAGAAACTAAGAGAGAGTTTGTGCGATCGTGCTACACCTGCAGGAACACCAGAGCTGCTACCTCGTGGCCTACTATAACAGAACTGACTCCCACCATAGTGTGACTACGTCTCTTTACTTGCCATAAGCGAACGGTGTTTACTCGCCGTGTCTTCCGACGACGATCATTCCCTCCATTGGGATCTCTTCACGATGTTGTCCACGACAACTTTGCCTTTCCGTTGTTCCATCGGTTCACTGAGCATTCAAAGGGATTTATTATCGTTTCCTTTAGGGTATTTAAATGAAATTCCTCGTCCAGACTCTCTCTTCTACGCCTATTAATCCTTAATATAATGCAGCTAAATAAAAACATATTGTGTATATATACATATATACATATATATATAAAATTTTAATATTCGGAATAGAACATCGTATTGCAAACTGTCTTCTTTATTTAAATTGCAAACTATCGTTTTTATAAAACTTTTTTCTAAAATCTTGATAAATAGTTTTAGAATATTTTAGAAAACGACATTACTTTCCTGTCGCGTAAAAACATTAGATGTGCAACGAACCACTATTTAATTCTTAATGCGTCCTAGCACCTTATGGACAGCGTGTACACCATGTGTCGTTGCCTAACAAAGGCCGCAAAATTTTCTCGTGCTGTCGCAATAAAGGAGTTTCACTATTATCGAAAGCATCCGCACAATCACATACAAACAACACATTACTAAATATTATATCATCGTACCGAAACCGAAAATGGATTGTTGACTGCTCCTTCTCACGATAGAAAGGATTGTGACTCGCTTTCGCGAACAATCGCTAACTAGGATCGATCAATGCAATCGGCGCAAAGTTGTCTTTTCCTCTTATCACTTCCGTTACATCTTCGAGATTTCTGTTTGATGTTTAACATACACCTGCGTATTTTCGAACATTTTATGTTTCTTTTTACATATACATATCGACCAAATTTTTTCACCTCTATATCTGTACAAACTATTAAACTATTTTCGATTCATCGAAAATAAATTGGAGTAAAATAGGATAAAAACTAAGTAATCTTGGCTCTTTTCATTTCTTTCCTAACTTAAATTCATAAAAATTGATATCTTTAAACAATCTGTTACTTTCATCTTTCATTTTTTCTTTCTTGTTTCGTTGAAAGTTCGTTCACGACCTTTTTCGACAGTTACTCATGATTAACGCAAAGACCAATGAAAGCAGACGTGTGTATTCAGACGCGGTAGCCAGAGAAAGTTCACTAGGGAGATAGAAAGGAAAGAAAAAATCGAAACGAATAATCAATGCAACCGTCTTACGCGACACGACTCTGGACAGAAGGGTAGCTTTGGGCACTAGAGTAATTTTTTGATCGATATATTACATCCCTTCTATCATGTAATATATGCAGAGAAAACATCCGTTTGCGAGACACTTATTGGATGCAAAGAATACTATAATCGTTTACTTTCACTTTTTCATTGGTAATTGCGATGTACATACGACGTTCATGATTGATAGCTTTTGCATACCTGAAAAAAGATCATTTTACAAAATTATAACGAATAATTTTATTGTTATTATATCGACTACAGTGTCAATACCTTTTGACAATTATTCTGCTATATTTAGTGCATTAAAACACATTACTATTACATTTCTGTAAATATTGTAATATTTATAATAGGAAGACATATATACTTACATCTAAATACAGTTATTATTTTATTAAATTATATTTAATATGTACATGATGTGTTTTTATAGTACAGATCATTTATATGCTTTGAGATTTACTGTACTAGATCTATTTATAATCAAAAATAAACTTGCAAAAAGCTAAACGATTATAATATAAAACTGTAACGTGAATTCCATGTGCAATATTTAAAAAAATGATACAGTTGGGTAAATTATTTAATAGAATTGAGTTTCGTCAAAATCATCTTGGTATTCTTCTACTATTTTTGCTTTAGTTATGGTCCTACGACTCTCCAATCTAATTCGTTTCTCTTCTTCGGTGAGAGTCTCAATGTTGAGAGGAAGATTAATTATCCTCCTTGGTTCGTCGTATTCGATATTAATACTACTGCCATCTGGTAAAACAAGATGCACAGGAAAAGTATTTAAATAAAATTTTCTATGCTTCTTTGTTATCGCTGCTGTCCAACAATTCAATTTCCTATGTAAGGATAATGCAGATTGTGCTGGTCGTAAAAGGGAGGATATATTCATTCTGAAATATGAATATATATTTACAAAAATCAATGAAAAACAGTAACTTAGTAACAGAAACAGTAATTTTATTTTGTCATTAGCAACCGATAAAATTATAATGGAAAATTACACATATCAATATCTACGCAAAGAGGTTATATTAGTCATTAAAGTTAAGATCTATTTACGAATCATAATTCCACTACCATTTATTATATTGTTTACCTGTTATTTGAACATGAAATATTTTTGTGATCTTTTTATAATCAAACTGAAAGTAAATTAAACTTACCTCTTTTCTGAATAAACGCTACTACTCCGAAAATATGTGTACAACACGTACTGTTACACGATTAGTGCACAATCCGACCAGTAGATGGCTACGACTTATCGAATCGAATTGAAATATCGATAGTTTTTAAATTGTAAAGCCTTGGCGGTTTCAACGTGACTTATTTCGGTAGGATATATTTCGTTATAAAAACAAGTGAATTATTTGATTTCGCGAGTGATATTACACACGTGTATACATTTTGTTGTATAATTGCATGGCTTCGTAATTTTCATCGATGGATATACTGCACATTGCTTGGTAAGAATAAAATTTTAAATAACGTATGCAAATAGATAGGATCATGTCGTCATGGGATCGGTAGCAATGTCAGCGTCGCTTTTGCTATTTGAATCACAGATTAGTGGATTTTCTTCCGAATTTTCGTAATTGTTACCAGGTATTCTAACATATTCTTTATGATCCCTGTGGAAAGTAATCGACATGTATATATAGTTCTTCTTTATGATAAAAGGATAAATATAAAGAGTGCGGTTGTGTGTAGTGAGTGATCCTATTTTTATATGGCACACGTTTTCTTCAGTAATATATAATTAGTCCTCACTCGTTATAAGATGTTAGTTTAATTAGTTCTGTTAGTAAAGATACAACACAACACACGTACACATACATAGAATTGCGCTCACAAATACACACATGCAAACTGATTTACTCAAAGTGGGCACACATCATTTATTTAAATCTTTCTGTGATTTCAAAATTTGAAAGGGATTTTATTGCTTTACTTTGTAGGAGTTTGATGAAGATCGATATAGTAGGAAAACACAGAAATTATTAAAACTGTTGCAAGTTCTAATAATTAGACAATACACAATCACTTTATTATAATATACCTTTGATATAAAGGTAGTTCTAATATCATGCCGCATGCCTAAAAACCGCAGCACTATATGACAAACTGTAATTTAAAATGCTTAATTTTGAAATGTAGCAAAATTTTAAAATATTCATGTTTATCATTTGATCAAAGTGTACAAAGTCATGCAGATAATATTTATTGTAATTTCAAGGTGAACATATAAATATAAAATCATGAACAATTACAGTTCTCAATAATTTATGAAAATTTTACTTTTTTGTAACTTTTATTTTCATACACTACCAATATCATTTGATATCTGCAATATTGTTTGACATATCAATGTGGTTAAAATTGTTATAATCAAGCTTTTTCCTCTTTTATTTATACACAATTAACAACCGAGATTCGTTAAAATATTTAAAAATATATCAAAATAATCTTATTTACAACAAATACACTTCAAATTTTTCACTGGATAAATTTTGTATAACTAACGTATACAATAGCGATATGTGTGAAAACGTTTTAAATACTGAACGCTGAATTTCCATTTCGCGACTGAAATGAAATTCTGTACAACTTCTTTCCCTATCATATTTCTACTTCTGACTTCGGAAACCACAACAACACATATCTTTCAGAAGTGCCTCCGAGTCTTCGTCATATGAATTCTCTTGTTTATGCAGTATTTCGTTACTTCTTGCATTCTGGCTACCTACTCTGTAAGAATTTATGATTTTGCAAGCTCGTGCAACTTGGAAGGGAAAAATGCATGGTTGTGAGATGATTTTAAAACAAAATTGATGATGATAGGTACTTATATTCTGTTTTTGAGGTCAATCATCTGTTCACGGATAAATCTGTAAACAAATTTTTTTGCTGCCTCATATCTACGATTCGTACTAGCGAAAGCGTGTACACATACTTAGAAGAATTGAACTGATTTAAGCAGATAATAAGTAGTGCTTATGAAATTTTTTATCAAATTTTACACATAGCAGATATGCATATTTATATATTAGCTTCTACATCGTGTTGAGTTTTTGGCTCATTTATGAATAGTAATCGATATTAATTTTTGTTATGAAATAATTAAATATAAGGAATTAAGTAAGTAGAACTTATAAGACATGCAAGTTATTCATCTTTTCAAACGTGCAAAGACTATTTACTTCCAATGCAAAGTGATACATAGAATTTCTGCTAATATCTCGATAGTGCGTTAGTACAAACAACATGCAGCTTGTAGTACGTTTTTCATGTCTGCGTATTAGCAGCTTTTTAAGAAATATAATTATTTTTATTATTTAAATGGTTGTTAGTTAAATGGTTTATGACAATGAAAAAGTAAAGATAGAGATATACGTACCTGTATAGTACATAGTGTTGTATAATGAAAAATATATCAAATGCAACTGAGAAAAATCCCAAACCAAATTTCGTGGGATCTCCGAAAATACTTTCCCAATCATCTAGAAGAAAGAGCTATCATTAGTTACTTGCCATTAAAACAGAATTGGTAATAGTTTGAAGTTTTACATTTATTTGATATACGTTACCATAATTGTATGCATTAAGTATCATCTGTAGCATTGACAACATACCACCCGTAAAGTCTAAAAATATATTGCCAATACTCCAACCAACGGTGGATTTTCTTTTGTAGTTATAAAATGCTTGTGGAACGTATTTAATTAATGTTATACTCAATTTAACATAACTACAATAATACAGAAAGTCAAGCCAGTTTATCGTTGTCACTATAGCTAATATCATAGAAATTAAAATAAAGACTACAAATATTCCGTGAATAATACGTGCTGTGGTAGATACTCTTTGATTTCCTGCCTAGAAAGACAAGGTCTTCATTAATATTTAAAAACATTTACAGAATTGTAATATGTTTATCTGCAGTACCAGACATGTAAATATGAAACCGGAATTTTTGTATAAAAAATACACGCTTATTGTATGAAAAGTATTGCCCATCGCTAGCTATACATTTTCCCCACAGATTTCGGTTTCATACTTACAGACCTGATAAATTTTAATTAATTACCTCATATATAAAGCACTGAATAATAGTTATCACAGTCGCAAATGTTGCGTGCAAAGCGAAGAAAATATCATTCACTTGTACAGGGTTTAAACCTTTTGGATATCTTCTAAAATACTCCAGCTGAAAAGCGTGACATTAAGTAAAGCTATGGTTAAAAAATACTATACCAATTGCATTTATTGCGCCATTTAATTTACCTCAACTTCTGGTATCCAATACAAGCCACAGTTGAACAGTGCATACAGAATAAAGCCGACCAAATTCAATGACAAATAATCGAAATTTAATCCTACGACACTTTTGCGTTTGTAATTACTGTATATCTGTGGATAGAAGCTTACACTCCATGCTAGAAAGTATATCCATCCTACTACGGTACTTATGTGGTAAAGTGTATCTGATTTTTCAATAGTCACTCTAACAAATGCTTGGGAGTAACTGTAAAAATACAAAATATTAGTCGCTATAATAAAAACACAAGATTCTGTAACATAGCATTTAACAATTTTGTAATTCTTTTCTTACTTTAAATCAATTTTGTTTAATTGGTCTTGAGGTATTAAAATCACTCTAAAAAGTGTCATTATTCTTTGGTGACAATTTTTAATTTCAATTAATGGAATACAAACTTTGCAATACGAATATCAAAATGCAATAATGATAAAAGAAAATGGTAAGAGCAATTACACTATCATGTTCTAGTTAGAACAGATGAACACAGACTGATTGAACTTTCAGTAGGGGAACCGATGACAAGTATAGGTCAGGAGGTTATCTGTACAAACCACTAAATACTAACGTATGTAATGTAGATCAAAATCTTTTGCAAGTTTATTATAAAAGTAAAGACTTAAAGTAAAGTTACCTTAAAGTAAGTAAAGTTACCTTTCACCACAACGCAACAGTACTCGATAGCGACAAAGTCAATTTGTTCTAATCTATCGTATCTTTATTTTTTGTGGATCAATGTGTTCCTTATTTGTTAATTTAAATGTTTATTTGCAAATTAAAGAGAAACAAATAGTATACTTTGGATTTTGATTTTAAAGGTACTTATTCATTATATGAAAAATATACTTACTCTGTAACATTGTTAGGCGTGACATTAAGACTAATAATCGAGTGTCCTGCACTGCGACCATTTATAAGAATATCCCATTTCTTCTTTGTATCGTTTTTAGTAATATAGATACTGGATGTGTTAACAGAAACTAAATCTGGATGTTGCACTTCTATCGTCACTGATACATCTTCAGATAAGCTTTTCCTGTATGAGAAAATTAAATAATTATCAACATTACTTTATGTTTTATATTCTTTAATTATATAACAATATAGCTAATTTATAGTTACTCAGAAACATAGGAAAGTTTTATCCCAATTTGTTCTAACTATATTTTATATACTATTGATATATTATCGATATTACTGCTTTATATAAGAAACATTTCCAAACAGTAATGCAACATAACAATCAATTTGAATGATATTTTAGAAAATATGCTATGGAACTGAAGTAATGAGAATATCATACTTATCGTTAGTAATTAGACGTTAAAGCAATATAAGTAAATGGTATACATCACATAGTCGACAATGAACTTTTTGTATCTCATTCAATAATCATGTTGTACTTGTTTCTTTTAGATAATCTTATTTTTATTTTTTTTATGTCAAAGATACTTACGTCAGGTACAACTCAAATGATTCTTGACTATCTACGTGAACTATTAAATCTTGATTTGATACCTTAAAATCTGCCCATGCTTTATCTGCAACTGAGGTATTAATCGTTATTTAATATAAGACAAAAAAATGCAGTTAAGATTATCCTATGTAATATAATTTATAAATTGTTCCATACCTAGAATTGTGATAATCCCTATATACCACACAAAGGCCATCTTTTGTGGCTTCTGAAATAGATCAAACAGACCTTTAATTCCAAACTTTTCTTGAACCTTAGATTTTGCATAACACTGTATTTAACTGTATTGATTAACTGTATCGATATCACTGTACTGATTGTAAGACAATTATACAAAGCAACCAGCAATTATGGAACAACTAGCTTGATTAATACAACAGTTCTAACTCGCTTCTAACAAGACTGACTAAACGAGATTCTACTCTATACGTCTAATCGAGAAGAGAATTTTTTAACTTCTGAAGGCTTTGACCGCTTAATACTCGGAAGAAACAAGGAAGTCATAGAAAGTGCCGGGCACTTTGTCGGATGCATGCTACTGATACGATCGGATAATCTGTACCAATCCTCCGGTTGTTATTCACGGTAGCCAGAATATGATAACGTTCCGTATATTTTCGATCGAACATCGGATACCGTTGATTTAACAATTATTTAGAAAAATCGATTGCCATGTTAACGCGATTTCGAACGATACGTTCGCTTGTACAGACATTATGAGTACGAAAGCTCGGTTCCTATGGAAAGACACAGAGAGTATCGGTCGAACTTAACCTCGGAAGCGCGACGACCTCGATGAAACATGCCACGAGGCGTTAAAGGCGATAAGACCTGCCGTTCTAGAGATTTTCAGCATTCCGTCCGGGTTTGGGCGAGCATATCGTTTGACTAGAGAAACTTGACATCGCCGAATATTTCACGGCGACTCAACCGAAAAATCGATCGAGCCTGTACACCACTGTACACCTTTGAACCAGTTCTGAGTAAACGTAAATGGAAACTCCTGGCCCCTGGATAGCATGCATTCTCTGTTTATGTCATGCAACGATGCAACAAAACGCGCTGGCATGAGATGAGTTCGAGGCTGGGACGTAACGAAACCTCGCGTTCAAGGAAAATTTGTCGTACTTGTAAAATTTTGCATTACGACAATTACGTATAAATGAAGTAGGAAATTGTATTTTATGTATATCGACGAGGACCGACTTCGTTTAAGATAAAACCTTAGAATTGATTTATTTGAATCTGACGATGTCTTTCGAAAGTTTTGAAATTAATCCGATGTAAATTTTTCGCGAAATTACATATTCAGGTAGAAGAGTAAAAGAGGTTTCTCAGCCTCGTATCGAGATATTTGCATGTAAATTGCGAGGCGATGTCATTAACGAGTTCCATAACGTGATAGTTATCGTTTTGATACGCGATGTTTCATTATGCCGCGGTTTTTTTTTGCATTTCATCGCATTACATTCTTTTTCCTGCTGTTCATTTTCGTAATGCTCTCGGTAGACTGGCACCATCCTTTTTCTAGGCGAATTATGGACCTATTCGGAGATAATGGACCATCTATTTTTTTCATTATTTCTCTTCGCTGCTATAAAATGCTCCAATATTATAGCCACCCATATTATTTCCCTTCCTTTTTAGTTAACCTTGTACAATTAATCGTTTCACAGAGCCATATTATTCCATTGCTACGCATTTGTGAGAGTAGAAATTATTCTCGTTCAAATTTTTCTTGATTTGCAATTTCTTTTTTATTCGTTCTTGAACGCGTATCTTTCCCTTACAGCTTAATCGACAATTATTTTTAACGCCACTTTGTTTAAAATATTCGAGGAAATATCTCTGTTACCAATGTTATTTCGGAACGAAGTTTAATCTTTGAGCAAAAATTATTTCTCGGGGTGAAGAACTTGTCGCTGTTAATGAAATCGTAGCCGTTAAATGAAACCAATGGTTCCACTGGAACGGAAAAAGTCGCGCGTTTAAGCACGTTCAAGCAAGATTCAGCGAGAATCAGAAAGCAGCCGATTTTCCGCGATAACGTTACGTTAATACTCTGCATTCGGCAATTCGGAAAATTCTGTTCCGACAAGTAGTTCGTGAGTGAACGGTACTCGTAAGCAGAGGGAGAGGCGGAGGCAGAGTTGGGTGGGCGTGTGTATACTCTCTCTACACATTTTCAGATAGAATAAATCGAAAGAGAGATCGACGTTCGAGTGCACTCCGTGTCCCAAAGGGGCCTTCGCGAAGCTTACACGGAAACAGCTCTGAAAGTCGATCGGCAGTCTGCTGCCGCTTTTGTTGACGTATACAGGCTACTTCGCCGTCAATATTTTCCTTTGCATCATAGCTGGCCGAGTCGAACGGACCTAATCCTCGAAGATAGTCCTCCCCCTCCCTTTCGTTCCTTTCCTTTTTATCAATTTCAATTCGTCTTCGATATGGATAAACAAGATTGTTCCTGGCCGGACGTTCGTCGATATACCTCCGAAATTATTCCATCGAATCGTCCGCATGGAATTTCTCAGGAAATATTCCTTTCCTCGTTCTTTTCTTCAGATTTCAAGATTCGGGAGTGCCTGTCGGCGTATCCTGGAAATTTCCAAAGCGTTTGAAAATGTTTTCTTCGACGAAATGGTCCACGGAAATCTGCGAGCACCGTCCGCCGATCGATTTCGGATAAGCGAATAAACGTTTACTTATCGTCTACGATCTGCAGTATATGTTAAAACATCCTGTTGTTCGAACGACCTTCAAAATTCAAGAATTTCTATATCTTTTATAAATACGCTTGGAATTCTACTCCTGTTTCTTATTGTCTTTTCGTTTTCAACATTTGCTATCACAACAAGATCGGATAATTCGATGTACGTTCGACGTATCGCGATAAGAACGTTCGAATCGGCTCGTAAAATCATGTTAATTATCGCGAAACGATCTTTCGTATAGTTTTGAATTCTATCTGTTCTTATCTATACGCACTCCCCGATATTCTAGTTATTTGCTGCTTGATAAACTTAATACACTTGAATGGGTCGAGCGTTGACGAAGTTCCATTGACATCGTGGAAACATCGCTGTTTCGAAGGCACGAAATACATCCGACAGAAGAATTTTATCGAAACGATAGAAGCGACAGAGTCGGCTAGATAGACAGACAGATGCTCTTCATTTATTAATATAGATCAACGAGCAAGATGTTAATAAGCAAGTAATTAAGTATGTTATATTATATCCAAGTAATTGATAAAAGGATTGGAACTTATCTACGTATTACGTAAACAGCGTAATATTCCGAAAAAAGTGGAAGACGAATGAAAGATACATTACGTATTGACGATTGTTATGTATTGCCTCGTCAAGTTTTCTATTTATCGACCCTACGATGTTTTCTTATCCGGAATGTACGCGTTTGCATCCGTTGGCCCCTTTTTTTAACCTTTTCGTTAGATATTTTTTGCCATCGCATACGGTCGCGTTATCTTTCGGCCAGCAGTTGCATTATCCTTTCATCCTGGAAACAATTTCGCGAACAGTTTTGCGTGTGCAGTATTAAAGGCTAGTCCGCCAGGTAATAACGGTTAGCATAAATTAAAGATTAACTTTGCCGGCTGGATCGGGTAACGTAATGCTCGTTCCATGTTAATTTCTTATCGCCGGCAATTACTTAATCGCACGCAGTCAAATGCACGTTGAAGCCACGTCCCTGGTTAATTGGGATGTGAAGAAACATTCGCGGAACGAGCTTCGTTTCACGAAATCTAGCAACCGCACTAATGAAAAGAAAACGAGACAGGGAAAGCAGAGTATCGTAATCGTAGAAAGCTTACTGGTGGTTTAAGCGAAAAATACACGAAAATACAGATAACGTTTAGAGAATGTTAACTTCAAATAGAAATACCGTTGCGTAAGATCGGCAAAACGTCGAGTTATGGGACCGATTTGTTGCGTTTGCAATTTCAAAGTTATCGAGCGTCACTGCAACGATTTTGTTGCGCAGGATGAAATTAGACTTTACAGTGTGAAACGCGCGTGTACCGATACCAGATGCAGGTCACACGTTTCGTGCACCAAGAACGACAATCGCCATGAATTTCATACAGAAAATTTAAAAATATAACGGAAATAACGATCTCGCGGCAAGATTTTATGGCAATATATCGCTGTTTTTCCATAGTATTTCACGCGATTTTCATGTCTGCTGCGTGCTGCTGTCCTTATCTTAATATTTTAAAGCGTCTTATTTGTTCGGCACAGCGTTATCACATTTCATTTCACATTTTTAATTTAAATTAATCAGAACGTTGCATAATCCGCTGGGGCGGAACGCACGAACGTATATATTTCTCTAATACGTATATTATGTCTATTTCGAACCGAATGATTCGATCAATTCGGTTCAACTCCAAGTTCGTAGATCAAATTTCCGCTTCGCTTCTGTCAATATCCCACAAACGTTAACTTCGTGTTTTGAACACATTGTATCTTCCTTCTCGTCACTTGATATATTCCCTGGCTTTTCAGCCTTGCTCTTTCTTTATATCGTACCGTTCACCAATGTAAATTCACCAGCTTCGTTGCGCTGGTCTCGCCTATTTCACGAACCCGATCCTTATAGAATATTAATGTAGCTCCGCGTACTCCATTGCTGTGGAATCGCATTTCTCTGGACGGTTTTGATAACGCGAAATCGCAAGTAATAACGTACGCGAGATAAAAGATTTTATTCCACCGTTCCGCCGGGTTAACGTATTCTAATTAACGATCGACTCGGTACAGAGAACTGGTAGGGATCTGATAGCGACACTTCTAGAGATATCGCTGGATAAAGCGTTACGCGAAAGTAGAAACAGATAGCAGAGAAGGTTGACCGATTCCATCGGACGATCGTTCTTCGATCGTGTAATTTGCCCGGGTAAACCGAAACTTGTATTCCTAATGTCGCCCGAACCCATTGCTTCGGCACGTCGGTTCGTATCCAAGGAAAACTTCTTTCTCCGAGTGTTTCAGGCGTTCCAGCCGATTTCCAATGTAAATTTACAAGCTCGTGGCGGCAGTTTGGCTCGGTCTGCGGATTCCATTCCTATCGAATATTAATGCTCGGAACGCGGTCTGCTTTTGACCTTTTCCGAGATCCGATTTTACGAGCTACGATCGAAAACAAGAAGAAAGAACAAAACAACGGACGACCCGTGTCGGCCTAGTTTTAAAGAATATTACCCGCGATACACTCGAACGCTACCTCGAAAAAATCTCCTCCTCCTCTTTCTCCTTTTCTCCGTTCTTTCCCATATACACTCGAAAAATTTCGTTCGACGGCGAAACGAAAATGGGTTTTTGGAACTGTTGGCGGTGACAGTGGTCGACAGGCCGCCTGCTCGAAAACTTAATTACTCGCTCGGACGAAGAAAGTTCGGACGGCGAGGAAATTTATTCTTCGTTATTACGATCGTTCGCCGTGCTGTCAGCATCTCGAACGAGTTCCGAACTTCCTGTCCTGAGATTTATATCTGATTTTGTTAATTCCGGAGAAAGCGTTTCAAAGAAACTTTCCCAACGTAATTCCTTAACGAGCGTTTTTCATTTCAGATATTCCTTTCATCGTGGTACATCTTACCGCTCAACGATATTATCTCCGCTGGTTCATAATGGTATCATCGGTAAAAGAGAATGCCAGATCGCTGCGGCTGAAGTAAGTAACCTAACGTACGAAAAAGAAGTACAATTTTTTATAATAAATTTACAGGACCGTGCGCATTAGCAATGCGATTATCTTGGCGAGTCGTAAGACACATAATTTATCATTGAATAACTATAATTTAATAATAAATATATAAACTGATAAAACGATCTAGGGCAAAGTATGTTACGAATATCGATGATACATGCCGCGGTAGAAACGTAAAACTAATTATTACTCGTTATGATTAGAGTATGGAAGATACTATCGAAGCTTTTTCTTCTTTCGATTTTATCATTTTATCTAAGACACGATCGAGTAAAAGCTTGTTTAATATTTAACCTGGTTTGCGATACGAAAGACAAGCTCGTTACGATATGATCTTGCAGTTGAAATGTTTCAAACAGTCGTACAACAAGATAGCTTTCCTCGCTAGTAATAATTAAGGAGGTCGATAAGTCGATCGATCGATCGACCGCCTTGATGTTTCAGCGTTCCCTTTCGTTTGATCCAAATACTTGGCTATTTTCTACCATGATCGAAAGACATCGTAACGGTTACATATTCATAATGAACGTAATTATTCTGCGAATAAATTGCACCGATGAACATATCCTAGATTTGTGTGACTTGGTGTCGTTGCTAGGTACGAACCATTTATGTTACGTTACGTGTTTTATAAATGTTTAAACGCGATGCCAAAGGCAATGATTTTTTAAATCGATTACGCGAGAGGGACAGACGAATGAAAATACCTTTGAGAGTACGTGAACACGCGAAACATTTGCGAAAAAGGAATATATTTATTATTTTGAAATAGCTCGCTTCTCCGCGGAGATACTTTTCGAAGCAGTGACCAGTTTGAGACGCGTCTACCTTAATTGAAGCGTGATACGTTGCTCGCGTGTTGCATTTTTAATTCCGTTGTAAAAAAAAAAAAAAAAAAAGCGAAACGTTCGAGAGGGACAGACGAATGAAAATACCTTTGAGAGTACGTGAACACGCGAAACATTTGCGAAAAAGGAATATATTTATTATTTTGAAATAGCTCGCTTCTCCGCGGAGATACTTTTCGAAGCAGTGACCAGTTTGAGACGCGTCTACCTTAATTGAAGCGTGATACGTTGCTCGCGTGTTGCATTTTTAATTCCGTTGTAAAAAAAAAAAAAAAAAAGCGAAACGTTGTTGAGCTCGTGAGTCTGCCTGATTATACGGTTGCTTCCATCCGCGCGTTTATAATTATTTCTCTCAACGGCAGATGAAAATTCGGTACGGAAGATCTTTGGACACAGCGGGAAGAAGAAATAAAAACAGAGGTGCCTCGACAAAGTTTTTAACCGACATGACGGAACGAATTATGACTAACGATAGAATATAAAAGCGTACGTGTGGAAACACATTACAGATAATGAAAATGAATTATGTTCATCTATAAATCATAACGCGAACGTATTGCTTTATCACTCATTGTCAGTAAACAAATTATTTCGAGTATCCAATAAATACGCGCGCGTTCGAAAATAAATTTCCAATTATTTTCTTCGTCCATTCTGTCAACGTGAAGAGCTTGATAAATGTTAATTCATCGTTGGTCATTCGGTCGATAAATAAAAATAAAAACGATGAAAGAAATATGCACCGCATTAATATCACGCATTATAATGCTTGAAAAAGATTCCTGGAATAGGTACATTATTTCTGGAATTAAAATGTCGTATTAATTCCGTTTTTTTTTTTTATCCCCTCAACGGAGCGAATCGTAATTTCGCAGCTCTCCAGATGGAATAAAATTATCCTGATAACGCGAGCTTCAACAGCGTAGTTCCGCTGAAATTGATTTAATCATTTTTCGAATAGCACTAACATTCCTTTTAATTCGGCGACGATCGATCGATATCAATCATTCCTCTTTCCCAATAAATTACCGTTGTTACGAAAGTTAAAAGAAATTATAATTAAAATACTAGTCGATTAATTACGCGAATCACTGGAAATCTAATCTATATCCTTATAGTCTATTGCTTTTATCCTACAGTTAAGTTTAATATATCGTTACAGCGAGATCGATAAAATTGCCTTAGAGATAACTCAGGAAGATTAACGACAAATTTTTCTATGGTATTATAAGTTTGTATATATATCTTCTTGATCAATGGACTGTTCGAATTTGATCCTTTATAAGTCTCTAGGAATTTCAGAAAAGATAATGAATTATAGGGGCAAAGTAACAGCCGCTAATTATCGTGAGATTCTTTAGCGATAATTAATCTTGAACGCTTTGTTGTATACAACCCGCTACGTCGCCATTAATTGACCCTTTTCTGGAGTTAAATGATTTATCGTTTCGCGTGAATCACTCTGTCAACTTGTACGCCATGTCATTCTGATATTGAAAAATTAAGACGTCGACCACCGATCGGCTCGACGAAATTTAAAAAGCCGCATTTTTCATCGTTCTTCCACTCGACTGTATTCTAGATATTTCTACTCCTTATTCGACAATGATACGTTCTTATCCATTACGGCGCTGCACTATTTCCTGCGACCTTGTTGCTTCAAATAAGAACAATTTTCTACACTTAGCGGCGTTTCTCGCAAAACTCAAACAATCGTAGGAGTCGTAATAGCTCTTTTCATATGCGGTTTTTGTAACTCGTTATCTCGTCTCGCTTCGATTACAAACAACGTTGCTATCGATTGGCGGAACGACGATTTTTAGGCGTGTCACGTGCAAACGGTGTTATTCATTTACGAATGTCTGCTCATATGCGATCGTAAATTTCAAATTCCGCTTAGTTAGGACGTATAATTAAATGACTAAATCGACTAATTCTCACGATCAATTTTAAAAGAAGCATCGTAAATTACAATTGCCATCCATTGACATCCATCGTCGATATAAATCTACAGATATATATACATAATGCTATATAGTTAACGGCCGTTCTTAGAGACAACGATAAGGTGATAATAGGTGATGAAAACATCTCTTCCTTTGACTCCACTTAATTCGATAAATTTATCTGCTGACAATCTCTTACCGCTTCGATATTATCGTCTGTTCTTTTCTCTCAACAGCGTCTACGTTTAATAATAGATCATGTGCCGTTATATACACAAGGCGTTTCGAATCGAGAATATGTCGACGGAGTTTCAAGAAATTCATGTCCCCGGTTACGATTTGCAAAGTACTTTACTTGCGAAAGCTGTCAACGGCGTTTGGCAGCGTATCGCGTGTATAGAAACGTGTCAATGACTTTTGTATTCGGCCTCGTTTCCCGGTTTCCACCAACCGACGAGTACCGAATCGATTTCGATTTCACGGCCAGTTTCACGGGAATTATATTGTGTTACAGAATCGACGAAAGTGGTGGACGTGCTCATTGCGAATTTTTGTCAATTCGATCGATTTAGTCCCCCGAAAAAAAGAGAGAAAAAAAGAGGAGAAAGAAAAAAGAAGAGAAAGGAGAAAATACAACTCGGTTATTTCTTCTTCTCGAGCACTTTTGAGATCTTTCTTTCGAACATGATTTGCAACTTAAAAAAGTTTAATTTCGAAACAAGAAAGGTGTACGTGTATATAATGTATAATGTCAAGTTTACGAATCGTATTTATAACTGCTAAAACTTCTTGCAACTCGACCATTCCCTTCCTATTTTTCTTTACTCAACTGTATTAAAAGTCTTTCCATGTTCACCGCTTTATTAATTGAAGGGTAAGACTTTAGGAGTGTTTTAGCATAACTCGAGTTGCAGCGAGTAGAAGAGGTCTAATCAAATGAAGGTGGAATAGCGTATATTATGGCAGGCACTCGTTTCTAGAAATTATAATATATAAATTTTAACGTAGAATGAGAATCAAAATTTTCAGCTAACGCTTAACATCCGATGTTTAATCTCTATCCTACATTCGGAATAATATATCACGTTCGTTCTATCGTCTATAACAGATTGCAAGACAGAGAAAGAAAGAAAGAGAGAGAGAGAGAGAGAGACATAGAACGAATAAAGTGCCATTCGATGCTTGTTCGGTAATTCGTGACTGATTTATTCATCGGACGGCGACTCAAATTCCGCATCCTTGGCTAAACGGTCAATTTATTTCTCCAACGTTTTGTCCAGTTTTTATTAGATCACGATTTACGGATAAATTGCTTCGCGGCTTCGCTCACTCACCTGTCGAATTTCGTCCGGCCGCGATAGATCAGGTGACAGTTAAAGCCTGCAGTAAGCGAATCCGATACAGAAACGTCCAATTTCTCCGCGCTTTAAAAACCTCTTTCCTCTCTTTCGAGCTACCTGCAAGAACAAGCTTTCCATTAAAACTCGTCGAGACCGACGTGTTTCTTCCGACGACGAACGGAAACGATTTAATTTGTCTGCGATACTTTTTATAGTGGCTTCGTTAACTTCCATGCAATTTAATCGATCAATCTCGAATCGTCGATTTATTTAATTTTTCGAATTTTGTTCCTCGACGTAATAATTACTTTGCTACTCGTCTTAATATAATTCATGCAAATCTTTCAACTGATTCGTGACTATGATCGAAGGAAAAATTGAACAAATGCACGACGGTATACCTGTCTATCGTGACGCTCACCCGTCTACGTTTCTTCCAATCATCCAGTCATTCGGTGCAATTTCATCCAGGCGAGCACGCACTCTCGACACCCAGTTTGTCCGCATTCAATGACTCCAGTTTGCCGATCGCAAAACTTCTCAGGGCTTCAGCCTTGAACTTGCAACGAAACTGTCCCTCGTTCGCACCCGATATTTTTTCCGACTTGGTCCAAACATCGGCTCTTCTTCTCTAGGTCGAATCGCCTATTTTCTTCTCCTATCGGTACTTTCTCTCCCTCTCTCTCTCTCTTTACCGAAACGAGAGAAACTCGAACGTTTTCTATGCGCGATCACGGCGAAATATTATCGGTCGGAGCGACGACGAAAAATAAGCCAGCCCGAGGTATAATTATGACGAAATCGCTGGCTCGTTCAAGGTCTCGGGCAAATTCTATCGAAAGTAAAAGGAGAACGGCTCGTTCCTCTTTTCCCTCGGCCGGCCGAGATATCGTCGAACGATAGAGGAGAACACTATCGCATTGGCGAACGCGATTCGCAATGGCTAGCGCGAGCCTGTCGTACGTACATATAAATCTGTTGTACGAGCCTCTCCCCTCCCGACAAAATCCTCCCTCCCCGACCCGTCCCTTTCCCATACGACGCTCAATTTCATGACCGTCTCGACTATCTCGGCTTTTCCCAATGTGCTTTTACCGTCTCTTCTGCGTTAGATCCTATAGATTATTCGATCATAACGCCAATTTCTGCGAATCTGATTTCAGCGGAATTTTGTAGAAATTGTCTTACGATCGGATAATCTACGAATCTGAATTCTGTCTCGAATGGTGCAATAAACCAATCACGTTAAACTAACGTCGTCGATAGATATAATCTTTGAACAACGTAGGATATATATTTTTCTGGTGTTTTAATGCCAAGGAATTAAGGATCTGGAAGGAGATTAATGATAAATCTATCAATGATAAAAAAACGATGCGTTATTTACGCGAATCGAGCCATTAACGTTAAAATGTTTGCAAACAAATCAATTTGTCTTTAACATTCCCTGATCTTCGATTGAATTTTTACTCTCCGTTTGATAGACAAGATAAAGTATCCCTCTAAAAGTAAATTGATTCCAACAATTGACAATGACTAGGTATTAAAGCAAACAAGATAAGAAACCAATAAAGTTGACAACATAATTGACTGAAAAAATGCCAGCATTGCAAAACGACGGTCAATATCGTGCGTGTACCATACAATTTATATTACGACAAAAATGTATTATTATTGTTGCGGCAGATAAGTTTGATACTGGAAAATATGTATTAAAAGAACGTAATGTTAAGGCTGATGAATGCGCGGTGTTAATAGTATGGATTGCTCCCTCTCTCCCTTTCTCCTTCTCACTCTCCCTCTATTAATATATTACAATATTACTAAATTATATTAGACCGTTCACCGGAGGTTATTGACTTGTATCGGACATCTATTTTCATCAATATGTACATATATATGTACGTATATATATGCGTGTAATATATATAATATATAATACATATAATTTGTGGCTAGCTCAGCGAATCGAGGGACCAATAGCTTCTAATTGATTGTGAATTACAATGGCTATATTTAGACTAACGGTTTCGTAAAAACTCTATGGGTAATTGGTTCGATCGTGATTCCTCTGCGTATATTTTCTTCTGCTCGACGAAACATTTGAAATTGTTAAAATTATATTGGTCGAAACTTTCAGTAGACTAGGTATGCGAGAAATATTAACGAGTTCGTGCTGTTTCGTACCTACTAGCATATACTAGTGGCGAGTGTCTATTTCTAAAGGAAGTGGTCTGCTTTCGCAATATTTGCAATGACGGCGTAACATATCAGACAATTTCGTGATTAAACCTTTGATGTAATATTTTCCCTGTGATGATGATTGTGCGTATTGGTGACGGAAACTTTTGTTTCTTAGTAATCGTACGGCTACTCGTTCGCCGATCGACGACATACGGAATTGCGATGTACTTACCTGTATCGACACGCCAATGGATCAGTCGGTCTCGATTGAATTTAATTGGCCAGGTCGCACGTTCGTTACGTCTAGGCTAACACGGAATCGCCGAAACTGGTTCACGTGCAGTTTCGATACCGTGATCTCTGCGTTATCCTCGTTTCCGAAAATTTCGATGGAATCGGAAACGTAGCACGACGAAATTAAAGGAAATTTTCAGCTTGCAGATTCGGTACAATGCGATTGAAGCACGGCTTTAATCGAAAATATATTACTGCCGTACATTATTGGGTACTTTGGAGTAATTAAATTTCCAGTTGGCACGCGAGGATAGCAAATATCGAAATTCTATCGCGAAAAAGGGTTATAAAATACTTAATAATATATCGATACCAATTTATACTTTTATTCTTTGAGCCTGGAATTACCTGAATTTTTTCCTATTGCGTGAAACGTTGCAATGTTTATATTTATAATGACTTGGTAAAAAGAAGGAGTTTTCATTTATCTGGAGATAAGAAAATGAACTGCAAACGATAAGTATGGAAAAGATCGACGGTGTAGATACGTCGGACAAGTCGCCTCGTGATGTCATCGAATGACGAAGCGGATTTTCTCCAACATGTAGCTTACTGTATGCTGCCTCGATCGCGCAGATCGCACGATTTTGGCACGAATTCCGGAACTGCGTTGGCTGTTCCGCTAAATCTCTGGCTTGCCAGCGAAAAAACATAAATTGTCGATCCGTTGAAAAAAGAAAAAAAAAAAAGAAGAAGAAGGGAAAATAAAGAGCCGGCACGAAAGGAGAAGAAAGTAAAGAAGGCGAAAATTCAGAGGCGACAGGAACAACCGTGTTCTCAATGTGATATAGAATTCGCGAAATTAAATCAGGTCTGACGCAAAGTTTTCGGTAACAAATGCCGCTTGGTTTTCCACCGATCTTGTTTCGTGTTTGAACGCGTCGGCACGGATCGAAGTTCTCTACTCGTAAACCTATGCATACGAGAATTGTTTGTTGATTAAACTATTACCTTCGATAACATGGTTATGTACGATTGATATTGGATATGCTTGAATTAGCGTGAACGAACATATTAAGTTCTAATTCATTTGGATAGCGATTAGAAATTTTTGTAAAATCGAACGAACGAAGGAACGTGCTGACGTTTCGTCGATAGCACTCTAAATTACAAAAATACGTAACATATTTCAGATTATCTATTTGAACTAGCATGATAAACAAATGAAGCTGATAAAGAAAACTTCATTTTTCAACTCGACGTTACGTTGCTCGCGCAATAGCCATAATTGCTAGTCATTTCGTTAAAGTTAAATACTACGTGCGCAGGACGATGTAATTTTTCATCGGTCACGAGGCAAGATTGAACGGAAAAACGCGCGTTTTTGGCATCAGTTCCAAAGCCGACGACGAACGTTCCTCTAAATCTCCGACTGGACACAGCTGAACTAAAAACTCGGCAAAGGGTAAAGAAAAATTGAACGAAAACGTGTATATATATTTTCGATCGTTTACGAATCCGATGTCAACGAGATTTCAATTTCAAAGGAAACGTAATTAATATGTTTAATTATGACACTGCGACGGAAATATAATTAATAACGGCAAGAACGTTGTTTGATTTACGAGAGTATTTGTCGCCTCGGGTTTATTCATCCGAAAGATGGGAAATACGTATCCAGGAGAGCAGGAGATGAATGTAGAAATTCCTCACTTTCGAGGGAAAAGTTTCTATGTTTTACAAGCCAAATGTTTAGCAACCGGGGAATCTAACCTTCGAAGAAGTTGCGAAACAAAAGTAATGGCAAAATGAAGCCAACAAGCAAAATAACAGGCAGTATTATAGAGAAAAAAAAGAGAAGAAATAACGTCAAACCACGAGGTAAAGTTTCTATTTAATGTAAAAGTGCGATTAACAGATTCCAATAATTCCGCGAGGAAAAATGAATTTCGAGTTACTAGCATTGTAAGGTATGCGTGTCAGAAATCCAAGAACATTAGCAGCTTTGGATGACGACGGAGTTGAGTTACGGAGTTGTGGACGAGGCAAATTTGTGACGTAATATACACGAACAATACCGTACAGTACCGTATATGTAAATAACACTACACTATTACGAAAATTATTGCAAATATGTAAAATATTGATACCACAAATAAAAGCCTTTAGTTTCTAAGGCAATCGTATACAGGTAGCAGGTATTGGTGAAAGCAGTGGTTAATATTAATTAGTATAATTAGCATAGAACAACAACCGAATGTGAAGGAAAATTGATTTCGAGTTAGATGACTTTAAGTCTATCCGTTTCTAGCCACAATTCTAAAAGTTTGTGTAAATTTTACCAGGTTTTAGCTATTCGTTACAAATGAAATTAGAGCGATACAGATATATTCCTGGGTTCGGTTTAACATTAGCAGAGCATCTGATTCCAGTTATGGCAAGAGATAAACAAAATCGGCAGCAGAGAAACGCCGTTCGATCATAGATCTGAAAATATCAGAAAAATAAGGAACCTTTTGATCGGGTATGCATACCGGTATCTACATATGTACTTGTGGATGATGTATACTTATCGCGTGTACGTGGAGATTCTCCTTCGAGTGGATAATTTGATCGATCGGCCGACGATCGATGCGGCCGTGGTTGTGCAGTGTGCCGATCAGCAGGAAAGGAAGTGATTCTCACCTGATCGGCCGCTTTATTTTTCGTGGAATATCGTGTTCAGGTGAACAGCGGTGCGCAACTGTCAGGCCGCGTGCGGCCTGTTATGCGGTCCACGCTTGGAACGCGGCTCGTTACATCGCAGCGCGGTCTCATGTGCCGCGTGCGGTCCACCGCGTGCAGTTGTGCGGCTTGCGGTCCTTTACGCGAACCTCCGAAATTTAAAGCTTCTGCGGAATTTTGCGTTCTAACGATTCGCGACCGGCTTGCACGTTGACGCGATGGAGAGCCACGGAGCACGCTCGGGGTACCTTCGCGTG